CTTTTTGATAGAGTGACCCTGTGTATTCGTTCCATTTTCTTTTGATGCTTTCCGTATTATTCAATATTTTGCCCGTAGAATCCTTCAACATTTCAAGTCGAGGCTTGAATTTTTTCTTAAGTTCCCTCAGCTTGAGAAATGCTGAGCATGTTCTTCTCTTTTGGGTTTCTAACTCCAGGTCTCTGCACATTTCATTATAATATTTGACTTTGTCTTCTGTGCTTCGAAACTTTCTGTTCAGCTCTTTCACCTCACTCTTTCCATTTGCCTTAGCATGAGAGCAAGATTCAGAGTCTCTTCTGACATCCATTTTGGTTTTTTCCTTCTTTCTTGTCTTCTTAATGACCTTTTGCTTTCTTCCTGTCTGATGTCCCTGATGTCATTCCACAACTCTTCTTGTCTTCGGTCTTTAGTGTCTAATGTATCAAATCTGTTCTTCAGATGATCTTTAAATCCAGATGGGATATGTTCAAGATCATACTTTGGCACTTATGGGCTTGTTTTAATTTTCTTCAGCTTTGGCCTAAATTTGCATATGAGCAATTGATGGTCTATTCCATAGTCTGCCTCTGGCCTTGTTTTGGCTAGTGATATGGAGCTTTTCCACCGTCTCTTTCCAGAGATGTAGTCAAATTGATTTCTATGTATTCCAACTGGTGAGGTCCATGTGTCTTTTGTGTTATTTTAAAAAGGTATTTGCAATGAAGAAGTCATTGATCTTTCAAAATTCTATCATGCAATCTCCAGCATCATTTCTGTCACCAACGCCATTTTCCAACTTCTGATCCTTCCTCTTTATTTCCAACCTTTGCATTCCAATCACCAGTAATTATCAATACATCTTGATGGCATGTTTGATCAAATACAATTGAAGAAGTTGGTAGAATTCTTCAATTTTATCATCACTGGCTTTAGTGATTGGTGTGTAAATTTGAATAATAGTTGTATTAACTGGGCTTCCTGGTAGGCATATGAATATTATTCTATCATAGAATTTATTGTACTTCAAGACATATCTTGGTATGTTCTCTTTGATGATGAATGCAATGTCATTCCTGTTCAATTTGTCAAACCATGTAATTGTCAGATTCATAATGGTCAATACCAGTCCATTTCAGCTCACTAATGCGTAGGATATTGATGTTTATGTGTTCCATTTCTTTTTTGCCAGTTTCCAAATTTCCTAGATTCATACTTTGTACATTCCATATTCCGATTACAATGTATGCTTACAGCTGTTTCTCTTCATTTTGAGTTGTGCTCTATCAGCAACTGAAGGTCCCATGGGCGTCATTTGCGTCATCACAGTCAACTCTATGTAGTCTGCCTTATGTGCTCTCAATTTACTCCACATTCTCTGAAACTATCTGTGCACTTACTTATTCACCCATTTCTTGACTGTCTCTTCCAACTAGCCACCACCTATGTGTCAGTTTGCTGCATGCTTCTATGATACTGGGAGCTACGTCACTTGTATCAACAGGATCACCCATTGTGAACAGACTTCAGTAGAACTTCCGACTAAGATAGACTGGGAAGAAAGGTCTGGCCATCTATTTCCCAAAAATTGATCAATGAAAACCCTATGAATGACAACAGTGGTGCTGTAGGATATGCACTCAATGGCTAACCACACAGTCAGCAGTTCTAACCCACCAGCCACTCCTCAACTCAACAGCACTTAATAACTGGAACCAACTTAATGCTGGAACCAACTCAACAGCACGTAATAACAACAACAACAGTGTCTGGTACAGTGCCTGAAAATGAGTCCTCTAGGTGGAAGGGCTTATTCAATCTATATGCTGAGCAAATAATCCAAGAAACTGGATAATATGAAAAAAAATGTGGCATCAGGATTGGAGGAACACTCATTAACAACCTGCGATATGCTGATGATACAACCTTGTTTGCTGAAAGTGAAGAGGACTTAAAATATTTACTGATGAAGATCAAAGACCATAGCCTTTGGTATGGTTGCACCTCAATATAAAGAAAACAAAAATCCTCACTAATGGACCAATAAACAATATCCATATAAATGGAGAAAGGATTGAAGTTATGAAATACTTCATTCTGCTTGGATCAACCATCAACACTCGTGGAAGCAGCAGTCAAGAAATCAAGTGGCGTATTGCATTAGGCAAATCTGCTGTTGAAGAGCAAAGATGTCAGTTTGAGGACTAAGGTACACATGACCCAAGCCCTGGTATTTTCAATAACCTCATATGCATGCATATGAGGACAATGAATAGTTGGACAATGAATAAGGAAGACCATAGAATTAATGCATTTGAGTTATAGTGTTGGAGAAAAATATTGGAAGTACCATGCATGGACTGCCTAAAGAACAAACTAATCTGTGTTGGAAAAAGTACCTCCAGAATGTTCCTCGGAAACCAGGATGGCGAGACTTTGTCTTTCATACTTCGGACATGTTGTCAGGAGGGACTAGTCACTAGAGAAGAATATCATGTTTGATCAAGTGGAAGGTCAGAGAAAAAGAGGAAGACCTCCAATGAGACGGATTGGCACAGTGGTGGCAGCGATGAACTCAGGCGTAGCAGCAATTGTGAGGTTGTCACAGGACTGGGCAGTGTTTCATTCTGTTGTGCATAGGGTTGCTATGATGTACAGATTTGACGGCACCTAACAACAACAACAACAGGTGGGAAGGCACTACCCAAAAACCACAACATGGACTGACTCAAACAAAGATAGGATCATGAAGATGGCACAAGATCAGGCAGTGTTCTGTCCTGTCATATGTAAGGTCTTCATAAGCTGACTTAATGGCTACCAATAATGGTAACCCCTAACTAGAATGTAGGCTTCATGTGGGCAGGGGCCTTCTCTGTCTTGATTGTCACTGTATCCCAGTGCCTGGTTCAGAATACATGCTCAATGTATGTTTGTTAAATCAGTGAGTCAAGGAAAGAGCGGAGGGCCACTCACCGGCCATAATAGATGGAGAGGTTCTGCCCCACATATTTCATCAGCTGTGAGGGCCCATGGGCCCATATGCACTGGGTAGCCCAGGCCTCAGCAGAACTGGCCAGCCACTCATCCCAAACCTGAGGAAAGAAAGGCCAAGAATGTCTCCATCATCACAATAAAAGTGTCTTACCTGCACCCAGGATACATCTTCCCCCATTTCCTTGTACCTCACCACAAAGCCACCTGACAAACTGGAAAACTGAGGCTCACAGGAGACTTAAGACTTTTCAGTTCACAGTGCGTCCACACCAGAGCCAAGATCCACATCAAGTCCCAGTGCTCTGTTCCTCTCGCTGGCTGTCCAGCCTGGGACTCTCTGCTCTGAGCAGGCCCTGTGTGTGTGTCCAGGAGTTCTCAGTGGTCACTAGAAGTGACTGACCCTAGGGTGATGGGGAAATTATACATTCCAAATTTTCTTTACTGCATTTCAAAATGTGTTTATTTTAACATTAAATTTCTTAGTTTCAAATGCTTTTTTTTGTTTCTAGTGGTGAGAACTTGCACAAATTTAATATGTAAATTGTCCTAAGGAGGAGAAGTAGAAAGCCTGTCCCTCATTTCTCTTCCATCCTTGTTCCCTAGCTATCCTGCCCCTACCCCAGGCAACCACACTGTGAGTCTTCTTTCAGAAATAGTACTCTGTAAGCAGATATATACCTTTTTTCTTTTTTACAAATGCTAGCATGCCAGACATTCTATTCTACACTTAGCTCTTTTCACTTAACAAGATAGTTTATCTTGGTGATTATGATACAATAGTACCTAGAGAATACTTCCCTTGACCTTCTTAATGGCTACATCATTTCCAGAGTAAGAATGCCTGGATAAGGGAGCTGCTCAAAACAAAAACAAAACGAGTTCCCTTTCAACTCCTACTTCCTGGAATCCTTTGAGATATTACTTGTTCATTTCATTCCTTCATTGGCAGAGAGTGAGCAGTATTTCTCAGCAGTCCTCCACTCATGGTCTGACACTGAAATGAGATGCTTGTTGTTGTTGTTGTTGTTGTTAGGTGCCATCGGGTCAGCACCAACTCATAGCGACCTTATGCACAGCAGAACGAAACACTGCCCGATCCTGGGCCAAACTCACTACTGTTGCC